ATAATAAAAAATAAAATGTTTTTGACCACTTTCGGCAAGAATTCTGCCATCTGAACATTTTCCTACCTGCTTTCAAGAAGTAAACTTTCCATTTTTGTTTCTCAAACAACCCCTTCCGCTGGAAACAATAGAGGTGCCGGCAATTTTGACACGCTTATGGCGGCCATGTTTGTTTACAACTCGCCCGCGGATCTGATCGCGCGCACCATCGCTTATTTCTCTCGCGAGTAAATAGTTTGTGTGTATCTTGGAATCCATTCTCCGCGCGGTCACAAAAACCCTTTCGAGCCTCCTTAACGATATGAACTCTACCAAACGAATCAATGAAAAATAGAAGCGGTAAAAAAAATACAGAAAAAATTGAGAAGCAACGCAACAAGTCACAGGAGAACGTGGTTTCCGTGCATATAACACAAAACCTGTATGCCAGGTGCTTTCCAAACTTAACTTCACATAAAGACAATGGACAAAACAAACGACATCAGTCTTTAACGGGCTAAGAGCAATGAAGTTCCCGGAAACTGCCATCTTCTAAGTTTTATAAAAATAACAATAATAATAATATTAATAATAATGATAATAATGATAATAATGGAAAATGGCGGCGAGTAGTGGAGACGGGTTCTAGCGGCTCCGTTAGTAATCTTGTTTTTCGCAAAAGCAAGCCAAGTTTAGAGCGCTATTATACATCCGGACAAGTACGTATGCACTTTGGAAATTGTCAAACCGAACAGGGGAGATATTTGGTGTCTCTAAACGCAGGAAAATCAGTCAAAGTCTCAAACTTTACAATTTCAATAATGTTAACTGACGGCAATATGGAAGATAACTTACAACAACCTCCACGCAAACAGAGGCTCAAGTGGACGGACGAAATGAATTCAACATTACTCGATTGTAAAAGGAAAGCCCAACAAATGATTAAATCTAATGCGCCCGAAGATATGGATGGAAATCGTAAGAAAGGTTACATGGAAGTGATGAAGGAACTCTGGGATCAACAAGGCTATGAACATCTCGCAATATCCAGAAAAAATCTACGAAATCAAGCTGCTCGATTAGAGAAATCGCTAGGCAACGCAATGAACAATATTATGGATAAGGTTGGAAAACGGCAGAGGAGCGTAATCGAAAGAAATTTTGCTGAAAAGAATGAAAGCATTGACAATATTTCGAATGATCAAAATGCTAATAAGCCTGAACAAGGAAAAAATTTGCATAACGACCAAGATACAACTCCACTGGGACCCTAGAAAAGTCGTCGAAAATGTTTGATCTAGTGCATATCGATCCAGGTAACTATGAAAATCGGGAAATCGACTCCAGAACTAAAGAAAAACCAACGAAGAAAGACATTGAAAACATTAACAACGCCGTGAATGAAATAATTAATCAACATAATGTATCACCGACTGAAGACCCATTTATTTATTTATGGATGGTTAATTGTGCACTTTATTCAACCACAGCCGCTTTTCTACTGTTAAAACGATGGAAAAGATCTACTGTACAAGGCGCACCGAGGAAACAAAACTCCGAAGGAAAAAAGAAAGAATTTCAGNTGGTGGAAATGAGCTGCCCTTGGATCAACAACAGAGACAAGAAAGACAAAGAAAAGACCAAGAAGTATGGAGCACTTAGACTTGAGCTGACAAAACAACACCCAGGATACAAGATCTCACAAGTAAACGTCATTATAGATGTACTTGGAGGATGGTCTAAAGCTATGGAAACTGAAATGAAGGGCTTCTTTGGTACAAGATACAAAGAAATATTGCTGAGAATGCAGAAAGCTGTATTAAGTAGCACTCTGAACATTGCAAGAACATTTAAACTGGTTACAGCGTAAGAATTTTAAGGACATTATGATTTGGTTTTTATGAACAGGATTTTATGAACATTTTAAGTTAAGGACATTTTAAGAACCGAACAGTAAATCATGAACATTTAAAAAAAAAAACCATCTTAGTATTGGGCCAATTGACACTTTTATCGTTTTACATTGATCATTTATATCTAAGTAGTACTAGATATTATTCTAGTTAACAGTCCTGTCATGCAGATAGGCTACGAATTTTCGCCCTTTCTTGCTTAACTCACTAGCATCCAAACGTGTTTACTGCATAATAATAGTAATAACAATAATAAAAATAATAATAATAATAATTATGGCACTTATATAGCGCCATATACACTAACTGCCCTATGGTGCTTCACAATTCTACAGTAAATTATAAAAAAGCATAACACCTTAATTGATGTCTTCTATGGACGGCTATCACCACCAAAAATACGAGGACGTCAAAAAGATCAGTAAATACAAAGATGGTATAAGGATTAGCAGCAGGATAGCATAGGTGATAAAGGAATGGCATGGCCAATATACAGACAGTTTAGTTTTTCTTCATAAAACAGAACACCCTAAACATAAATAGTCCAGCCAAATGATAAACGATCTAGTTGCCTATGTCGAATTGGAACATGAAATTGTGAAATGGACTAGCTATAAATTGCGAATAACCTAGCACTCATTTGCAATACAGTACACAAACGGTGTAGCGTTGCGTCAAATGACTCAAGGTAATATGCAGTAGCACAGCGTACGCACAAACGGTGTAGCGTTGCGTGAAATGGCTCAGCGTAATGTCGAATGGTACAGCGTACATACAAACAGTGTAGCTTTGCGTGAAAAGGCTCAGCGTAAGGTCGAATGGTACAGCGTACATACAAACAGTGTAGCGTTGCGTGAAATGACTCAGCGTAAAGTTGAATGGTACAGCGTACAAACAAATGATGTAGCGTTACGTCGAATAGCTTTGCAAAACATGAGACGCTCTGGCTGAACATTAAATTGCTTAGCATTACATGAAATATTTCGATGTTGTGGCCAATCGTCGAGCTTGCTCGTGGCGTGACGTGAAGGCTATCTCGCCGAAACCACCAAAAATACTAACCGCAAATGGAACAGCGATCTGCTGGGAGGCATGACGTCATCGAATGTGAAGACTGGTGCGAAACCATCACACAATGTAGTCGTTATATTTGGGAGTCTTCACTACGCCTTTTCGTGAAGCAGAGGCAATTCAGTAAGTTTCCCCTCTTTAGTTTTCCCTGCCGATATTACATTTATTCGTTGTCGTTCATAGAGGCGTTAATTAAAATAGCAACGAGACTGGATTCTACCACGGTTTGCCGGCCTCCCAGTTTACCGCATGCAGTTTGCACGCGTTGGTGAACCTGAATGTTTATAGAATTAAGTAGTGTTATGACGTGCATTAAATGTCGAATGCCGAGCTCTCTTTTTCTTTTCTGACTCGCGCTCACTTTTCACTGAGAGTTTCACTGTAAAGGCTCTTTGAACATCGCAAGAGTACGTGAGAAGTTGGATTTTGTGTGTCTTGGACACCATGCTAAGAAAACTGATATCCTTAATCTGTTTTGAAATTTTGCAATAAAACATGTAGTGTTTGCCAAAGCAGCCACTTTTCCGAGTCAAGTGGTTTTGAGCACATACCTACCTTCCTTGATGAGGTAGGTCTGCCTTAGAATTAGTAAGAAAACGCTCACTCATAAAAGAAGGTGGTAAGGGAAGGGGGGGAAAGGTCCTTTCACAATTCACGAAAAATAAAATCGGCTTAATGACGGGTGCTGAAAATATTTAAGACATACTTAAGGTTATTTCTCACCTTCGCGTGTTTCCTTTGGGAGAAAATTCGTACGCGCGCTAGTTTCACTAAAATCCTAGCAAACTATATGGCAGGAGAAAGCTTAATAAATGCAGATTACGATAAAAATATAATTTAAGAGACTTCTTTTAAGGAAGTGTCAAGAGCTGGTAAGGTGTGAAACGACCGAATGTTCTTCTATCGGATGCTGCAGCACGAGCAAAATAGCTGCACAGTCTCATTCACAACGCATCAATCAACAAAAGTGTGTCAGGCTTTTTCGATATTCTGATTGGTTGCGTCGATATCGGCATCTAAAGTTGGAGTAGCTAAAAACTGTTATGCGAGTCGTGTTACGTAAATGGACGCCACGGGACAAATTTTTCAAATATCAGAATTTCCCGAAACACTTTTTGGAACGGCAACGAACAAACGCATTATCGGTAGGAAAAAAAAAAGAGAAACTTACCAAATTGCCTCTGCCTTACGGCAAGGCCAATTGAAGACTCTTCAACGAAGCGACCACTCTTTCACATTCGATGACGTTATGCCCCCAGGAGATTGCTGTTCCATTTGCGGTTTGTACTTTTGGTGGTTTCGGCGAGATAGCCTTCACGTCACGCCACGAGCAAGTTCGACGATTGGCCACAACATCGAAATATTTCATGTAATGCTAAGCAATTTAATTTTCAGCTAGAGCGTCTCATGTTCTGCAAAGCTATTCGACGTAACGCTACACCATTTGTTTGTACGCTGTACCATTCGACATTACGCTGGGCCATTTCACGCAATGCTACACCATCTGTGTGTACGCCGTACCATTTGACACTACGCTGAGCCATTTCACGCAACGCTACACTGTTTATATCTACGCTTTACCATTCGACATTACGCTGAGCCATTTCACGCAGGCTACACCGTTTGAGCGTACGCTGTATCATTCGATATTACGCTGAGCCATTTCATGCAACGCTACACCGTTTGTGCGTACGCTGTGCTACTCGATATTACCCTGAGTCAATTGACGCAACGCTACACCGTTTGTTTACTGTATTGCAAATGACTGCTAGGCTATTCGCAATTTATAGCTAGACCATTTCACAATTTCACGTTCCAACTCAACATGGGCAACTAAACCGTTTATCAGTTGGCTAAACTATTTATGTTTAGGGTGTTCTGTTTCATGAAGGAAACTTAACTGTCTATAATTTGGCCATGCCATTCCTTTATTAGCTATGCTATCCTGCAGCTAATCCTTAAAGCATCTTTTTATTTACTGATCTATTAGACACCCTTATATTTTTGGTGGTGACGGCCCCCCATAATCTTCTTTACCTTATGTTTCTTCTTTGTCTTTTGCGACATGTCCACCTGGGCATATTCATCGGATGGTGGTTGTTTGTTCTTCTTCTTTTTAGTCATATCAACCAGTGCATAGCTAGCCTCAGTCTCAGAACCGGATGCTTGAAGACTCTGGGCAGCTTCAGCTCTACTAACCTCCTGATATCCATCGTCAGCTTCGTAATGATTTGCACTTTCTCTACAAGAAATAACAACGGCCTAAGAAATTTAGAAAGGCTTGAAAGGTTTGAGAAGGAGAATGGGAAATTTTCCTTCATCATCAACAGTAAAATTGAACATTTGTCACGAGCATGCGTAGTGCCTGATATCTGTAAGTTCCGATAATCTGTCTGTAACAGTTTGACTTATGATTACGACCAGTTGCTTTGGACAGCATTTATGTACAATATTGACACAGTTAAAAAGATTAACATAATTTCCTATGACGGCTGCCTAGTGCTGCTATGTGAATTCCGTCGCGTTTTTCTGGATCACGCGTAGGTTTCAGTCAGCGAGCTTGACTTCTTGATTATTGTAAACACCCTCTATTATTATGAAACTTTTTTTTCCAATACTTACACCCTATCCACAGATACTTCCTCTACAAAAAATAACGTACAAAAAAATAGTTAAGTAATATACCTGTGCATCACACATGTACACCTGATACTTCACAGACATAATTATACAAAAGACAGGCCCAAGTTAGTTGTCATTACAAGGAAGTACACCAAGTTAAATTTGACAAGCAACTTTACGATTTCCACTAAACTTCGGTCGATCACAAGCACTGAGGAAGTCCTCGCCTAGTTTCTTGCTTCATAGACTGATACTGATAGCGTGGATTATCGTTCCACTTTCCTGCATTCCACCCAACCGTATGATTTGGGCACAATTTTCGTGCCCTCCATAGTTGTTCGGCCCTCTGTTACCTCACAACTGACTACCAACATAGCATATATACATCCTTGTTGCTACCCATTTCAGATCATGCGAACATTCCTTTAGGAGGTTACAATAATGTAATTTGTCACACGAAGCTGAGTGCATGAAAGATTGAACGAGCAGAGTAATTGTAACTCTCCAAATAAATGGTCGGTTGATTTGAGTTTGTCTTGGATTGGTTAATTGGTTGATGAATTGTCTGATTGATTGACTTGATCAGCTCAGTCAAATTCTCGATTATTCAATACTGATCACGTATCAACCAAGTATATTTTCCTCAATTTGCCTTTTCAATGTTCTGATATCCACCGTTACCGTGAATTGAAGGCTTCCTGCGTTTCCAAAGAACAATGATCACGATGATACCAATAATGAGCAGGACAACGGCTGCAGCAGCTCCCGCGTAGATGGCAATGTTCATTCCATCATCACCACCACCAGTCTGAGAGCCATCCCTACCAGTTGGCTCTGCAACAGAAAAAAAGAAAAAAGAATACTTAATATTAGACTGCTTTAGAGGCGGAAACTTTAATCTGATTTCTTCAGCTACATTAACAGCATTCGATTGTTGTTGTCGTTGTTGTTTTTTTATAATAATTGGTAGCTTTGTAACTGGCTACAACGTCAAATTTGGTTCCCATAGGTTGTACATAATTTCAAAGTAACTCCTTCAAAACGTTTGATGGACAAACACTAAAGCTTATAGCGCTAAGTCCGCGGCCGGGTTAGTTACAAACATGGGTAGATGGAGCAAATCAAAACCCTACTTTCGTAAAAAAAGAAAAAAAAAAAAAAGGAAAAAAAAATAGAATTAAAGCTCAGAAAAAGGCCATAGCGATGAACGGTGAAACTACTAAGACTCATTTGATAATAGAACATACTTTCTACTCTCTTAACTTTCTTAGCCATCTCTTCTTGTAATACACTTTCGCCAAGTTCATTTGTCGCAGTTACCGCAAATTCATATACTTTGCCTTTGTCCAGCTTAACCTCCACTTGTGTGACCGAGACATCCATAATTGTCTGTAGTTTTGTCCAATTTGCGTGATTAGCATCTTTAATAATCCTCTGATACACAGTGTACTTTGTTATTTCTTTTCCATTATTTCTTGGCTTCCTCCACCTTAGAGTAATTGTGCTTTCTGTTACTTCAGTGGGGAGGTCTTCTATTTCTACTGTTGCTGGGGGCCCTTAATGCACCAAAAATACCAAACTCAGTTTGTTTTATATGAGCTAAATTAATTGGTAGTACCTTCATCATTACTCGATTCATTCAACTACCGGTAACTATTAGTCGGTAATTTCATTACTTTTCAAGAAACAAGTTTTTCCACTTGAGCGATTATGCACGACATCTAACTTTGTTTCATTTTGTCTTTTCGTTAACCGTCACATTGAAATGGCTCATGATCATAAAAAACAGGCAATCCCTTTTCCTATTCATAATGTTTGGTGAAAGAAGGGCATTTTGAATTATTTGCTTGAAAATAAAACAACAACAACAACTGTAACAAAACCAAAGTAAAAGCGAGAGGCTAGAAAACATCTACCAAACCATAAGCAGAAGTTTAAAGGGAGAAAATTTAAAATCACAGAGTCGTGGCCAGTTTGCCAACGGGAGAATAACTTACAGAGACAAAAGAGATAAAAAGTCCGAAAAAATATCTTTCCAAAACTGTGGTTACTCTAGCAATTTTTGAAAGAAAATCTTCCAGTTCCATTTTGAATATTTATCATGAGCCCTATTTCACGAGAAAATCATTTATCGCTTTCAACCAACTGCACTAAACAAAATTTTGGCAATTCTCACATACACTGAGCTGGCAATGGTCTAGCGGAGATACTTTGAATATATGTATATGTAGCTATGGCTAAGCTTGAAATTACTGACATTTTAGCGCAGTAAACTTTGTTTCGGTTACAGAAAGCTGTCTCGGCACATTTACATACAATCAAAAGGTTCAGGCGTTGAAATAGCTGTTTAACCTGACCTGTCTTCTCTAATTAGCCAAATGCTTTTTTAATTCAACTAAAGGCTAAGGATATTCTTGCACAACTGTAGCTGAGTTCTCAGGCTTTTAAATATCTGGCATGGTGATTCAACATAGAATCTGGACGACAAACGTAGGTTAGTTCAAACATGCTCCAACTTTCTTGATAGCGGGGCTACTATACGCTATTACAAAACTTGGATACTTGAGCTGCTCACCTTTAAACGCAGTCTTTACCACCTTCACCACTGCGTTCCCCTCAAATACAAAATTTCTTGATAATACTTTCACTGTGTAGTCTGTATCTCTCTCCAGATTAACAAAAGTGTAACTTGTTGTACCAGGATCAGTAATATTAACTATATTTATCTCAGTGTCACCCTTTAGTATGATCAATCGGTGAGCTGTGATAGGACTTCCTCCATCATCAGCTGGTGCAGTCCATCTTACTGTTAGTGAACTGGCTTGAGTCTCCACTACTATGGATGGGATGCCTGGTGTCTCTAAGAAAAAAAGATCAAACAAAGTAACTAATGGTTTCAAAAATATAAGTAATCCCTTAATGAACGACCAAAGAAAATGCATCCGCTAAGGACAAATAGTAGCACTGCATTACTATCCAGGGGGGTAAAAAACTAAATTCTTCCCAAACTTCGTTCTCCAATACGGCGAAAGAGCATCTAGTCATTTTGCCGCTATGCAAGCATTCTGACATATCAGTTAGAATCAAGGTCGGAGAGGAATTAGCGAATGTCTAAGCTGAAGATTTGCAACAAAGATGAGTAATTCAGTCGAGGCAATAAAAAGAAGAGGGAGGGAGATAGAGCTGTTTCTAGGTTATTCCGTTATACTCCCAAAATTTTACCTCGCACTGACGAATGTATATACGAAAGGCCGCAAAGGAATACGTTTTGCCGCGATTGCCAAAGAAACTTGGAATTTCTGGAGTGCAATATTTTTTCGAGTTGCGCTCCTCGTAAATGTAATTGGAATATTTCATCCAATTTTGATGAATTTCTCCTATTTAGCAACCTCTTCTTCAAATAACAGATAGTTTGCATTGTATTCATTAACTATCTTGGGGCCGTCTTCAGACGCTTACGAAGGATCCGCAGAACATATCACATTATGACACATTCTCTGTTTCAGTGTTGTGGTCCAAAGCTATTTAAAGATTGAAACGCTTACCTTCCTTATTACTACATGTTAGTTTGCCACAAACAGATTAAACATAAGTGTGATGTGGTGTAAGTGTTTTATTGTAAGGTATGTATAGCTACTTAGTAAACCCATACACGCTAACCTTTTAATAGAAAGTGACATGGGCTCTTAATGTTGCCATGAGGACAAATTCTTAGCGTCCAATCACAGGGAGTGCCACTCCAGCCACCATTGATTTTTATATTTGAACGTTTGAAACTGAACTCGGCCGGCGTAAAAAAGATAATCATGCACGAAACTCTAGTTACATGTATAACTCTCCGTCCATCAATCCACTTTTTTGTGACCACAGAACTTACTTATCTGCGTTATCTTAATTATTCTGTCGTGAGCAGGAATCAGTCCATTGGCTGCATTACAGTTGTAATAACCAAAATCTTGATCACCCATGAGTGTCACTCGCACTTTGTTTTCTCTTGCTCTGATACTTTGTTTTTCATTTCCATCAGGTTCGTACCAGGTGAGTGTCGGTGTCGGAATACCATCAGATACACACTTCAACGTCACTGTCTGGCCAGTCCAAGACTTCTCAGTTGATTGGGTGACCTCCTGAATTGTAGGTGGATCTTGAAAATATAAGAATTCATCATCACAATTAATGGAAGAAGCAAATCGTCGTCATAGGCAAGGTGTAAGGTTTTTCGATGTGGTTCGGGCAAGTTCGGAACTTAGCACGCCGAAAAATTTACTATTAACACCAGCTGTAAAGAAGCAGGGGCATCGAGGTTCCTCTTTCAATGCAAAAGTCTATTCTAATGCAAAAACAGTTAGGAGAATATTTGTCTTTCGTCAAGTGACGAGATGAGCAATTTTCTCAAGCGCTCAGACAAAAGGTGATGAGCAGAGATGACCGTTTTTTGGTCTCACTTCCCCTTTAAGAGAGTGTTAAATAGTTTAGCCGATGAATTACCACTGTCTTGCCAATGGTAATCCAAGTGTTTTAAATCAAACCAATACTACCGCCTATCAAAAACGAAAAACAATAAAAAGAAAAAAGGACAATAATGGAAATACCGGTAGAGTGGAAGTGGCGTATGCAATGTACTTACGTAACAGGCAAAGTCAATTTTGAAGGTCGGAAAAAGGGAAGAACGCTCTGCATTCTCTTTTGATATGATATGAATTCGTGACGAAAACTGTGGCATATCCCTTAAAAGTTTCGCTCGCTAATCGACGGAAAACCGATGAAATATTGACTCTCAGTAATGGACTGATAACTTGATAGGATATATCTTCAAGTGTGGAAAGGCGGTCGTAAATGATGGGCAGCGCAGGATTGAAATCTGCACATTGTCTTCGTTTAAACAGATGGGTGAACATTTAAAGTTCCTCGTCCACTTAATTTACCTGGAAACAATACAACTATGGCCATGGAAAAAGTACTCATTAATGGTCCACTTTACACTTTTCGAAGGCTACTTCCACTTTTTGATATTGATATTCCTTCAGAAATTTCTAGCCAATTTGATTTCAATTAAATCTTTTGACCTTTATTTTCACGTTGTTGTTCATTGCACAATACTACACCCTCCCAACATTCTAGGATGTTAACAACTGGCATAAAAAGTGGAAAAAAAAAGGAGCACATGTCCTGTACTAAAGGAGAGGGATTAAACATGTCCTAAAGTAACCTTAAAAAGAGAAACTTTTATTGACACAATCAATGGAATACAATGTTGACTTCAGGGCTCACGATCATTTCCACCACCATGATATCAAACGGAAACTGCAAAGGGACGATCGCTTTTTGTCTGAAATGTCATGAGAAACCTCTCTCGCGAAAATAGCATCAACATGTAGCAGTAAATAACTTACTATAACATGTTCACTTTGATTACTCAACACAAACAAAGAAGGTGAAATTGACTATGGCACTGTGATCATTGAGCGCATATGAATATGATATGATTGACAATCGACTTACATTGGACAGTTACATAAGCTTTTACTGTCTTTTTTGGTCCCACTCCATTGCTAGCAGTACATATATATTCTCCTGCATCACTCTTGCTACACCTCTCGATCTTCAGATATTTCTTGTGAAAAACTTCCCCGTCAAATTTTCTCCATGTTATGGAGGGTGCAGGAAATCCCGAGGCATCACAACTCAAAGTAAAAGAATTCGTCAAATTTTCTGTGACGTTGTGTGGCAGAACAGTGAACTGTACAGGAACTATGCGGGTTAAAAGAACACCTCAATAATTATACAGCTCTGAAACACGAACTCATTCTTTATGTCTCCTGGGAAAGCAAGCGATGAGTCAAATGTTTACAATTAAACGTGAATGAATAATTGAAGATTGGGTTTTGCTTTCTTATTTTTTCCCTTTCTGAAGAGTTTTTTTAAGTTCGTATTTGGGGAATGTTAAACCTAAAAAACACTTTGTTTTCGCGTTCCTGGAAAAAAAAAATCGAACCTCGACTATTCCGTCCATAAATTCAACAGAGCCCGCAAAATGCGAAAGTTTAAAAGTGGGAGGGGGAGGGGGTAGAACAGAAAGGACACTGCTTTTTTCAAAACGAATACCCATCAACAAAACGGGTTTAGTTTTAGGACACCCTTGATATGCGAGAGAGAGATAACGTAAAACGTGTCGGAAGTTTTCGATAAGAACAAGATGGGTGAGACTATTGCTAATTTTACTGGTAGAAAATAAAATACTTTTTCCGAACTTTGCAATTGAGGTTAAGAATTACTTTTAAGCCCCAAAGGAATTAGGTGGTAGGTTAATAAGGCATGGTACTTACCTTTTACATTAAGTACAAAAGAGTCCTCTGATCCGTTTCCAACAAAATTTCTTGGTACACATTTGTAAATTCCATGGTGTAATGATCGACTAACATTGCCAATGGTGTAATTGCCCTTAGGAGATGCTGTTATTTCAGAGTCATTAAGGAAAAAAGTGTATTCTGACACCAATGGTTTTGCTGCCGCAACAGAACAAGTGAAGGTCACCTCGCCTCCCTGTATTATGCTGTTACTGGGTATACTTGCCGTTAGCTTCGTACCTACAGGTTTGTCTGGTAAAATTAACCAAAGGCTAGTTTAAAAAATGATGACGGAAATATATTGAGTATCATTTAACTTCAAAGCTTCGCTCGAAAAACGATCTTGTTCAACACAATATGAACCATACGTTATGAAGCGTGGAGTCCTGGTGCAATGTGTGAAAATTCCATTCTTCCCTCAGTATTTTACAACGCCATTTTTTCCTTACAATCTTCATCCTCTTGGATTCCATATTCAAACGCTGGGTTAGAGACACGAAGGGTTCCTTCTTAAAGGATTTTTAAACTGTATTGACGAGTGAGATAAGGGTGTTTCAGTCTCGAACTATCTGGTGAAACTGTTCTAGTTGTCGGTGTTCCCAGGAGGAAGCCGGGTACTACACCTTCAGATACTATTCCATTCCATGGTTGATACGACAAAACTTTATGGCTTTAATGGAAATAGTGAGTGGCTGGAGAAAATGGTTGGGTATTCGTGTCCTTCCGTTCATCAACGTAAGTTAAGGATTGTGGGAAAAATTCTAGTACTTTTCTCTTAAGATATAACAGAAATGCATTAAAAACATATATTTGAATTGAGTTTTTAAAATTGATTTAAATATAACGGAAACTGTAGTATAAAATATAAATATTGAGAACAACTCTATAGCTGATTAATTTCCCGGTATACCTCCTAGAATACTTAGAATGTTTCAACTGATGATCTGCGACTCCGTACTAAATGTGAGACGATCAAAGTCTTCAACTTACGTCTGTTGGTGCCAGTTATATGTTTAGTACTACATGTATTCTATTTTTCTAAATGCTTTTGTGTTAAGCCCCAAAAGCATGTACCGTTTGGCACATGAAGCATTCATGCAATGCATTGCCAAAGACTGCCAAATATCAAGAAAGAATCATAACTTACAGTGCACCACAAGTGTTGTATTCTGTGCAACAATTTTGACCGAGTTATTGGCTCGACAAGTGTACAATCCGTCGTCTGCTCTACGTAAGGTGTCAATTATCAAAAACGCTGCCTTCTTTCCTGAGCTTTTTTCTGCTCCATTTCTTATCCACGTCACATCCGGCGGTGGGTTTCCAGAGGCCGTGCAGCTGATGGTAACAGAGGATCCTTCGACGTAAGTACTCGGTAGTGATAAATGGGTAATGTTTGGTTGTTCTGAAAAAGAAGGTTGATTGCTTTCAAGTATATGACAAGTATCTATATCTTGTGCACGCTTTCAACTAAAATATTCAATTACAAATTGACTAATGTATATAGCCAACTACTACTGGTGATCATGATTACACTCATGACGAGAAGGCAGATGAAGAAAAATAATTAAATAACTGATGAAAAGTCATTACTTGTCGAATATCATTTCAGAACATCCGAATCACTAAAACGTGCGCAAGCCCCATGTGAATACAGCAGTATGAAACCACTTTAAAGACTATTCTTACTTGGCCACGTTCGAGTACAGAACGAAATTATGTTAATGTAGAGAGTGAGTTAACAATGACATTATAACAAACATTACAACCCTTAAGATATATGGATCGTTAAGATTGCCTCCACCGTTGAAATTGAAACAAAGTGAAGTACTGCACTCCTTGAAAATACAGGAGAATCCATGAGACTAAGGTCACTTGTACCCTGTCCATATGGACAGAAATTCTACCAGTTATTTATTTTTTCTCAGTTCGTGAGCGGGCGGTTTTCTACAAATTCTGCAATCTGATTGGTTCCGAGAGCGGGCAGTATTCTCCCCATCCGGCCCGCTCACAGCGGGAGGTATCCGTTTCGCTTGAGTCACTTTGCACAACATCTCAAGCTTCGTGGCAGGTTTTCACAAATATTTCTCATTTTGCCGGCCGGGCAGAATTTTTGAGCAGACTTCGGTCACGGCCTTTTGGCGATAAATAATATTCATTCTTTCTTCTCTCTCGCTATCAAATCACTGGTTTTTCTGCAAAAATTTATTTCTTAATAAATTTGGTGGTACTAAATTTGTTTTTAAAACGATTGAAACGTGACCTAAAAACAATTTTTTAGTAACTCGGAAAATACAACGAGAGGTGGTTGCAGCTAAATTGACTCTCATTCGTTAATATCTGAATTCTTCAACACCATTTGTTTGTTTGTGAAACGTTCAGCGAAGGTTTGAGATCTTCTCCAAATACACTTTCGCCTATTCTTGCAAATCCCTTGAATTTGGACATTTCTACCGTAAATTTCTCATCAGAAACCGGAGGAATTTGATGAATAAAAGTCGCATTAAATCCCCTCATGTCTAGCTGACTTCAGCTTTTAAGTCGAAGACAGATTTACACACACCATTGCAGAAAACAAACAAGCAGACTAATCTTAACAACTCAAAACACACATTTGCATTCACTTACAATTTGACTTTCCGTGACACTTTAAAAAGGACCAGAGGTAAATCTTCGAAGATTAATCGTCGTTGGAAATAAACAATACTTTCTGTAAGATCTCTGAGTATTTTTTTGTTTGTTTGTTTGTTTTTTTTTACGAGAAGATCGCCGCATTGTCATTTAACTCGTGTTTGTCACACCAGTACTGTTGTTTATTTAAAGGCCCATTTCCCACCGAGATGCCTTGCGCGCCCGGATCATTTTCCATATATGAAAAATACGCTATTTTCCTCGTAGTCGCGGAATCGCTTTGATATCTTCTTCCATCTTACTAATTAGGGCTTTCAAAGTTCCATCTTGAATCATGTGCGAACGACAAACTATCGTAGTATCCATATCAGTAAATGGTTTTTAATTCTTACATGTATGACGGTCAAAAACGTCATTTGAAAAGTTGATGCCGCCGAAGAAGCGGTCTAGAGGAAGGCCGAGTCTGCCCGGCTCGGCAAAGGTTATTCGACTTCGAGAGCCTGTGTATGATTTAAGGAG